TGTGTGAGGGTGTGTGTGTGTGTATGTATGTGTGTGTGTGAGTGTTCTTTAAATCTGGTCGGGTGATCCGCCGTAAAAGTGACACGCTTTTCAAAATGTCTAAATATATAGATCTAGGTCAGGGTTCTTCCAAGAGAGACGTGTCAGTCCGCTGACTGGGGTCAAAAATCATAACAATCTAAACTGCGCGCAGTGTTTTTCAAGACTTTGTAAAAGTATCTGCGGGCAGGAGTGGCTTGCAAACCATGTAGTTGTATCTAGTTCTAGATCTAGATCTATAACTATTTACTTTTACTTTCACGATGACTTGGTTGGGGGGTTTTTTTTTGGGGGGGGGGGGGTTAAACTTTACTTTTACTTTTTCATCCTCTGTTGCCGTTAAGCGCCGAGGGAAGATGCAGTTTTCTATGGTAGGGGAACTCTGCAGCGCTTTTAATTTGGATATTATAATTTCTTAGAGTTTCCTTGACTCCATTAATCCATCTTTTGCGTAGTCTACCTCTTCTTTTACAGCCTGAGTACTTGATGTTAAAGGCTCTCGAAGCTGGCTGGCTAGGTGACATACGTAACAGGTGGCCGAACCTTTTTATTCCCTGTTCTATGAAATGCAGGCGGAAGTCCGTGCCAGTAGTTGCTCTTACTTCTATATTTTTCCTGTCTCTTCCTGCTATGGTAAGTGTTTTGCGGAGACATTTTATCTCGTAGATACTGATTTTGTTTTCATGGGTTTTACGTAATGTCCAGGTCTGACACTGGTAGCATAAAGTCAGTATAAGCACTGAAATTATAAAGCACTGAAATTATAAGCTATCTCCAGGGCTTGAACTAGGTTTTCAGGAGGGCAAAAATTGCCTCGGTGGGGCTTAAAAATCAGAGGCCACCGAGGCAATTTGCTAGGGCACCAAGGCAAAAATTATAGGTGATCATTTTGTTGATTAAAGTTGGTAATACTGGTCCATGCATCACAACATTTATATAAATAAAAATAATATTTATTCTCGCTCTCTTCAAAAGTACAGAGTTGTCGGAAAAATTTTAAAATCATGAATGAAAATTAAGTAGATCACAGTAAAATCACACCAAAACAAAATCACAAAAAAATCAGTTTTAAATCAAATAATGAAGACGATTGCATCTGACTTTTAAATGCCTTCATGACTAGATTATCTAGCTCTTATTGACTGGATTAAGATGAATGAATATGACTGTAGACAATAAGGTACGATAGAAAACAGTAAGTATGATCAGTTAGGAAAGACATTAATCATTTGAGATTCAAACAGAGTGGTTTACAAGCAGTGCAGTGATAAAATAAAAACAAATCATGATAAATGAAAACAATTTTTGAACTTGTATTAAAAAAAACAAAAATGAGGAGTGAAAACAACTCATGAACTTGTATTTTTTTTTAAAGAATAAATAACTAAAAACTGCTGTCAAGCAGTTTAAACAGTGTGTGGTTCTGACTAAGATAAGTAGAAACAAGTTTTGAAAATACATGTTTTAATGTACATGTATGTTATATAAAAAGACCAGGGGCGGCTTGCGGGTCTTAAAAGTGGGCGTGCACAATTAGGTTAAAGCAGGTTGAAGATAGTCGATGGCATGCATGGTTAATGAGATTTTTTCTTCACCCTACCTGTTTTGAGAAAATCTATTTGAAGAAGAAGTCTTCCTTTCGTTCTTTTACTGCAGCAAAAGTGTCCATTATTCTGTTGACGAAGTTGGGCAAGCTGTCAATGATATCCGTGTGGATCGACATAAACATCAGTAGGCTACGATTTCTAGGATTTTGCATACTTCTCTAAATGTTGTGTCGAGTTTGTAGTCCTTCAGAGTTGAATAAAGGCCCTGGATTGTACGACCTTGAGCAGATTTAATTATTTCATTGCAATGTAATACTTATAATTCTGTTTGTAACTTGATTTTATGCAAAACAGTAATATTTCTGTAAACGATCCAAAAAGAACTGTAGGAAACGACTTTTGGTAGTCGTGGAATTTGGAAGAGACGGAGATTGATAGTGCGTTGAATTTATTTTGCTTCAAGAAACTGTCAACACTTTGAGAGACTATTATGTCACAGGCTTTCTTTGCTGCAATTTTGTTGGTGTTGTATAGTCTGTGTCTCTTGAAAGCGTGATTTCTGTGGTCTGTCTTGTTGATGGAACACGTATACTGTTTCTAATTTCATCGACGGCTACTTCAAACGTGTGTTGAGCTTATTAGGTTGCTATGGGCGTTGTACTTCTGTGTTAGAGGATCCCATAAACAGTGTCAACGTGCGTGAACACTTTGTTGAAAAAGTGCAAAAAGAAAAGAAATGTTTCGCTCTTTAATACATTCAGGATACCATCGTGGATGGAATTATCGTCGGACAGCTCAGACTAGATTTCTGCAAGACAAAGCTGGATCTCTCCTTTCCAAATGAAGACTGTGCTAATTAGACGAGACAGTAAATTCCGGTGACAAACGCGTTTGAGAACGCCGATGCATTTTGTAGAGTGGGCAAAAAAATGTCGAAAAGTCTGCTTAGCGTTAATGAAATTACCTCTGTTCCCCGACAAATCTCCTTTTTCATGACCGCGAAGGGCGAGTCGTGAGTTTCACAGAGCAAAATGCACCCGATAACCTAACACAATACGTGCCTGTTATTTCTCACGAGAGTCTAGATCTAGATCTAGATCTAGATTTAGATCCAGTTCGTTATGAGTACAATGAGTATTTGCTAACCGTGGCTGTAAGCCACTCCACTTTTTGTTGGTTGCATTATTTTGATATCTTTGGGTTGGTGAGGACCTAATTCTTTCACTCTCTTCTTGTTACTTTGTTTGGTGAACTGATTTTATCTGCAATCAACTTCATTCATCCTGCATTGGAATACACACTCGAATAATAAAACTGTCACCACTACACCATTCCAACTTCTAACACAGTGACCTAATTACGTCATGTTGACCTCGCTCAAGATCAGGGTTACAGAAGTGGGGCTAGAGATATAAATGGCAAGACAATGGACCAATAGCACATCACTGTGTGCCTTCCGGTGGATTGCTCCAAAGCTATCATAATACGGGCATTGAATTGTGTAGGCTATCGTGAACTGGTCTGAGATCGCGCTATTTTTAGACTGCCTCTATGGGCTTTGTTCGGCTGGAGCACATTGAGATTGTGCCGCCTTATTAATATTTATGAACTAAGAAACTCGGTCAAAACGTCATCGTTGTTTGGGCCGGCCCATAGAGCATTTTCCGAGATAGATTACACCACTGAACATGCTATATTGTACTTGGATGAAGCACAAGAACTTGATATGGTGTAGTAGATGTTTTAGAAATGTAAATGTTGTAATGAACGAATAAGCTCTGGCGAGGAACTCGTACGGAAAACTGATTGGATGGTGGAAGGTAAAGGTTCTTTTATAGTCTCTTTGTGGGTGTTGTGCGCATTAAAATTTTTGGGCGGCAGTGCACGACCATGCTCTATGAACGAGCCGCCCCTGAAAAAGACCTAATCAATCAGCATGTCATATTTATGACTTATGACTAGATCAGAATATTGAAAATATGTTGGCACACACAATATAGAAAAAGACTGGCTTACTGTTTGTCCCTTATGGGAAAAAACAAGTGATTTTTAAAAGTATCACCATAGAACATCATTTCAGAGAATAGTGCTGTTTTATCAGGACGTCTAGTTGTGAGACACATCTCCTGCCACATCACTCATATCTGCAACCTTCTTTTTCACCCAAAGCTTTTTTCAGACACTACTGCTGAGGTTTGATTATCATTGCTGTGAGTGTGTTTGCACTAGCCATGACAAAAAGGACCCAATAGTCAAGCAGGGCAGTGTCAGACTGAAGCTTTGATGAGATTTCAGACTAGTTTGACAGGATTTCTCCATACCCCCGCCCTCCCACGCGCGTATCTTAAAAACGTTTTTTTTAAATCAATAATTCCCCCTATTCTGGAGTCCCATACTTCGCGGAGTTCAGACTTTGAATGAACTTTGGTGACCCCAACAACCAGTGCTCACACGAGGCCGTATCTTGTGATTAAGTTGTGATACCAACGCTCAGGGTCACTGACCTGCCACGGTGGCGAACCCGACTAGACGCTTGTATAACTTTTTTTTCCCACAAGTGACAGCACAGGACAAATAGTGATTTATTTTCATGGTGGCACATTTTTTAAAAACAAACAACAAGGGCACGGCAAAAATTGCCGCAGTTGACACTTAGATTTTAAGGGCATTACGGCAAATTGCAAAGGCACCGAGGATGAAGCACATCCAGTGGTCCTTACCCCATCCTTCTTCTTCAAATATTAATCGATTTAGGCGAATTAAACGTTTTGTAAGGGACTCTCGTGGCCTAGAGGTTAAGGTGTTAGCCTCTCATTCAAAGGTCCAGGTTTCGAAACCGGGTAACGACGAGAAAAAAATTTTCTTTTCTAAAATGGTCTCTTTCATCTCTTTTCCTGCTCTCTAGCAATGTTCTGTCATCTGCTTTCGTCTCCACTTTCTGCCCGGACCCCCTCACTTCCTTTGCCACCTCCTTTGGGCTCCTGACTCTTTCTGCAGCCTTTCTACTGCTACTCTTCGGCTCCTTTTTACCGCTGTCTTTCAGCCATACCCCTGATCTTCTGGTAGGAAAGATCTATACCTAGCCTTCTCTGATAAGGGCGAAAAATCTCAGAGGTCCTGTGTGCACATTGCACACGTTAAAGATCCCTTGGTGTTCTAAAATCGATAAGAGTAGGCTTCGGCCGCCATCCGGGCAAAATTCAAAATTTCCTATCAACAAAATGTTTATTAATTAAAGTGTCCCGCGCGCTCACATGATTTAATACAGTTACAAGCGCCGTAAAACACTTACAACAACAAAAAACTGTTTTGCACTCCCACTCCCTCCCCCCAGAGCAGTGTTAGTGACTGGGGTGTCTTTGGGCCTTTCCCAGAAAGGAGATATTAACATGCTCTTATGGACAGTAGAATTGTAAATGGGCTGATTTATCAATGTTATTTTCATACTCTGCCGGCGGACCAACATAAGGGGAATTGCTGCTTTTTCTTTCCTCATCCTTACTATCGTCATTTTCCCTCTACTTCTTGTGTCTGTTTGTCACACTCTTGTGAACTGCTACTTCCCGGGTGCCTTGATAGTCGAAGAAGACTTTTGCTGTTGAGGAAAGAGAGGTGAACAGAGTAAGACTGATTCCCCGTTTGGACTTCTCTGTTGACATCCACCCTTTGGCGCTCATATGACCTTATGCTGTTTCGAGCTCCGTAAAACCTTACTAAAATAAATATACGTCTTGTATTATGATGTCTTCCTAAACGAAATAAAACAGCCTTTTTGCTTCTCTGAAAACCTCGCATTTTGACTTACGACAATGATGAATGATGGTGACAAAATAAAAATGTAAAAGAAAGATGTAAGCATTTTCATACCACGTACCGGTACTGGGATAATGAATGTGAAAAGCAAAAAAGAATCAAATAAATCTTCTCACCTCCAGGACGGTCACATAGGAGTATTAGGTTTTACAGAAGCAGGACTCCGATAGAACCAATATCAGCGTCAGTACATTTTTATTTTCAACTTCTCCATTTTTCGGAGGTTATTTCTTTTTCTTTTGTGAATGTAGGATTTGTTTACGTCACATTGACACAATACATAATTTTGGAGGCAAGCTTCTCACTTTGCATGTCAGGGCCAACCTAGGGTGAGAAGGATACAACGTCCCACCAAAAAGTTTGAGATACTCGATGAAAATTGTCCCCATTCGAGAATCGAACTCGGGTCTCCTGCGGGCAACAGCGAAGCGCCAACGCCTCACCACAGACGCCGATGAAAACCCCTCCAACAACCTAAGCTCACGAACAACCGTGTAGATTCGAACCAGGGACATATGTACCTTGGTCTTGCATGATACCAACGTAAAGTGCTTCTTTGTCCCACACAGAAGACCTGGTTCGATTCCAGTGAGAGAAGTTTAATCGAGTAACTCGCCCTTTCTACTGAAAAAGTTTTTTCGTTGTTGTTGTTTTGTTGTTTTTGTTGTGTGTTGTTTTTTTGTAGCGTTGTTTTGTTTCTGCTGTTTGTTTTGTTTTGTTTTTACATTGTTTTGTTTTTGTTTTGATTTTGTTTTGTTTTTGTTTTGGGTTTTTTTGTTGTTTTTAAGGGGGGGGGGGGTACTCTGCCCAATTCTATCATCTGGCGCTTAAGGGTAGGCGGCAATTACAGTGGAATCCTGTTATAACGAGAGGGAGGGGACCGGTGCGAAATGTCCGTTATACCAGGATTCTCGTTATAAGGAATCCAGTAATAAATTCAATGGAAATAATAAAGTAGGCCTAATCTAGGAGTTTGGTGTTTTGTTTATTTCTTTTTGTTATCTCCCCTGATGATGACATTGTTCTACATGACCTCTAGTTAGGTCTTACTTGATCAATCATCGAATCGGGTTTCTTTCTCAAGCGCTAGCGATGTTGACAGCACGACGTTGGCGATCAGAAAGAATGCGCTCTGGGCTAACTCGCCCTCTGTGTTGTCCCCCACCCCAACACACCCTGTGGTGTGTTTCGTCTGCTTGCGCACGCACTACACATTCACTCCATCCATCACAGCATTGTGACCTCTCTATCCACGTTTCGGAGAAGTGAGGGCCTGGGTAGTCACCGTAGTGGTAGGCCTAGATAATCTAGACTAGGCTGGCCTATCACACGATGCGTTCTGCTTGTCTGCGCTTACCACACCCTCCCCACTCTTTCGCTCCGGCCTTCATTGTTGGCAAACGTGGGCTCTCCTATTCTTTGTTTCGTTCAAGGAGTTGGTGTAAGGTCCTAGGTTTCGCTAGATCACCGACAAGTTTCTCAACTGGCGAAGTTTATATATGTATAACTGGCCTGTGCGCTGTGCACAGCAGCAGCAATATTCCGCTTTAACCGACTACCGTGTTTGTCCGATTGCGCTATAGCAGTATTTTTTTACAAAGATAAAGAAGGGGAAAAAACGGGGTTTTAGATTAGTGTCTTTATAACAGACTTCTCGTTGTTTCAGGACTCGTTATAAGTGGACTCCACTATAATATTTCTAACTTTGTCATTAACACTTGTCTCTATTAATGTTCGCATTTTCACATCAACTGAAGCACTCGAAACTGTATTTTTCAAAATCGGTGAGAGATATATGAAAAAGCCTATTTAGGATTACAGACAATTCATTTTAACATAGTTAGGCCAAATATAAAAGAAATCCTCCACTTGAGTTTCAAATGAGAGTCCGGGCCGCAACCCATACCCCTTAATTTTTGTCGCTATGAAAAAACGTACAGATTTTGTCATAACTTTCTAACTGAAACAGATAGGAGCATGAATTGAATTGAATAAAGACAATTAATCATTTTTCAATGTATCCAATTCTTTTATATTTAATTTTAAGAAAAAGGTCACCCCAAAATACTGCAGATAGCCATGCAACAGAGAGATCAATTTAGTGGTAGTATTAACTGAAAAGAAGAAATATAGGGAAATTTGTCAAAAACATACAACTCCAAGTTGCCAAAAGAGGAAATCACAGCGATAAATTGCAGAAGGACTTCTTTATTTCTAATCTGTCCCTCTTCCTGGGCAGTAGAGACGTCTGCCGGTCCAATTTTCCTCCTCTGAAAGATGGTTCCATTCCTGTTTTTCAAAGCTACACCCTCTATGGCAGTCTCTACCCTCTATATTTGGGCACAGTCCCTTTTAATGCCACTGTCCATGGTTTGGGCTGAGACCTGCAATTTTATAAACGGCATAAACGTCTGGGTGCTAAGGACCCCCAAAATCAAGTCTGCAGTAGTGATAGCAAAAGCTGCTTCTACTCTTGGTTTGGTCACGAAGACCGTCTTAGGGCCCTTCAACCAGGTGTGAACTTATGGAAACTCCCATTCTTTTTTTGTGTCACGCCAGGCACATACTTGATCTCCATTACCTCATCTGTGGTGCACGGGCTTCATAAATGATGGGGTTTGAGGTGGGTAGAAAGCCTTCCCTTGTGTGATGGTGCTGTGCTCCTTTGGTTGTAATGCCTTTAGTAAAAGTACGGTATAACACAGATAGCTTGAATTCGTTGAAACTGGCCTCGGTAGTTCGAGGCATCCGTAGTACTAGGGATCTGTAGTTCGAAGGATATCTTTAAAAGATAAAGAAGGGGAAAAAACGGGACCGCAGGCACAGTTCTACTGATGCATGCGTGATTTTGAGTCTTCTTTGTTTGACCTGTCTGTGTTATACTGAAAACACCAGTTGTTTTCACTTGTAGTTGGGCATCTGTCATGATGTGGGTCTCCATCTGTGCTGGTGCTGTGCAGCAACATGGCCACAACTGCTTCTTACATTAGCAGTGGAAAGAGTTGATCGACCCCAGAGGTTTTGTGTAATAGGACTGGAGACATCCAATCTTCTCCTGGTTGAAAAGAATAGAAGAGGAAAAAAACTGGAGAAAACCCCATAAGAATAACGATTTATGGCATATATATGATTAGACTCAGTTTATAAATTCTACTATCTCTAAAAGGAAAAAACATTTCTGAAAATATCCCCAAAAATGTGGCTGAATGTAAATCTGCAATTACTTTTATGAAATACATATAATGAAGAAGTATACCAAATGCAAAATATGATGAACGGCGCTCATCATCATGGTCCTCATGCTTCACAAGGCATGACAAGCACCGCATGTCCCTGGAGAACTTGCTTCCTTCTCCATTAAAAAAAATGAACAAACATCCATCATATCTTAGGTCACAAACAGGCTAAGTCTAGCTTGTGAGGGGAATAGCGCAATAATTGTTGATTGATGGGACTTTGAAAATTAGGAGATAGTCAAGTGAAATTTGTTATCCTCAAATACGGTACCTGAGTCAGTGCGCCAAAGGCTCTCTCTCCAAGCGTTACACCTCTCTTTTTCTCGATGGCTCCCAGATTTTTCAAAGTACAGAGCTGAGATTGAAATGATATGACATTCAAAATATTCATTTATAGAACCATTCTTTCATTCTTGGAAGCCAACAAAATCACCAGTGACAGGCTTACAAAGTTCAACAGTAATGAAAACAAAGCTAAACATACAATTTTCTATCATCTAACTATTAATAATAATAATAATAATAATAGATAGCATTTGTATAGCGCAAATCCCCGCTCAACAGCAGGCTCTATGCGCTTTACACTATATTATTACCCCAGCAGACCATAGAACACTCCGAAACATTCTCAGTTTCCCGGGAAGCATACAGTGCAAGCAGATGATTAAGCGCTCAAACACTAACATACTGACAAGATCTTTCGCTGTCTATAGCCGGGTACCCATTCCCACCTGGGTGAAATGAGGAAAATTCGTGTAAAGTGCCTTTCCCAAGGACACAACGTCGGGTCCCTGACGGGATTCGAACCCACGACCTTACGGTTGCGAGTCCAAGAGCCTAACCACTAGGCCACCGACTATTATTACATTTTCAATCACAGTACTTTTATTTGTGTCAACTGCTGACAAAAGAGTTGAGGCTCAGTTAATGAGCACAAATAGGTTTAAATGGAGGGGAAGGGGGTATTATCTCTTACACTAATACTAGGCCTAATCTGTAATCTGAATGTAATCTGAATCAAATCAGTATCAATAAAAGTGCAGTTATGGTTTGCTTTTTACTTCCCTTCACCTAAATTAAATAAGACATTGTTTTCAATTAACTAATTACTCTATAAGTATAGCCTGGGTATTATTGAGGCATTTTTCTGAGAGCGATATCGTGTGTCTGAAATAAATCACTCTGATTTCTCATGATACGTAAGAATCAAAATCAATTTTGACTTACTCTTTTGCCACATGGTTGACACACAACACCTCCTTCTGAGTATGGAATCATAGGGGTTGAGGGCCAATACAGCGGGAATGATTTTGAATCTCCATCGCCAATGAGTGAGGTGTTCCTCATCTTGTACTGGAGTGAGCAACCCCATATGACACCTTCGCTCTCTTTACCTAGATGGGCCACTGTGGTTGACCTGACATTCAGGCTTGTGGATTTACAGTCATGAGTCAAACTTACCAGTAGTCAGCTGGGCCTTCACAGATTAGCAAAGCTGGGAAAATACACAAGCGGATTTGTGAATTACCAATTTGTTGGTAAAACAAAATCAAAAGAAAACTGCTAGAGAGAAAAGAATTTGGCAACAAATCACTACCAGTATATACTACGTAATGTATCCCAATGGCACCAATGTTAGAGTACCTCAAGAAAACTGAGAGCTCTCATTACAAAATATTAATTCGGTATATCTACATATTTCTTGAACATAGTTTTGCTATTAATTTGAATGCCCGAAAAAAACACAAAAGAATAAAAATAGAAGGAATTGGGTGCGATCACCATAAATTGTGGTGTAAGGGAGTAAACTAAAATATAGTTCAATATAAGACCACATTACAAAAAACTGCTGAATGTTACCATTGAACTGCTGTATAAGATTTTAAAGCACGGCCAAATAAAACTTGTAATCGTATTATATATTCATGATCTAACCCTGATGAGCAGCAGTTTAATTAACACACTTGTAATTTGATATAAGTTCAA